CGGAAGCCCAGACAGGAAGCCGACGCGCAGAGCAAGGGGATGGCTGGTTCTGCCTGTACAAGCGGCAGTAAACTGCTCCGGGATTCCACAGGCTTCAGGTGAATGTCTCCCGGCCTTCAAGACGCATTTCAAGTTTCGATATCGCCAAGAAGTCGCCAGAGAAGGCGTGCAAGAGCCACATGATGCTGGCCAGATCCGAAGTTTTGCTCGGCACACCTAGAACGTCGAACGGGCCGAACGAACGCCTACGCCTCGAGGCTCCTATCTCTTCCAGGTCCTTTGCGTTTATGCTGGCAGTCGAGGGGAGCACGAGGAATGTGCGAAGGCGATCCGCGGCACCAGGGCGTCGCTGCTGATGTCGTTCGATGTCGTGCGCCTGAGCTCGGCGCTGACCTTGTCCACCTTGGCGCCTCGCTATCGACACGCCCTACGGGACCTGCTATACTCGTCAGACAAGGGGCCCACAAGATGCAAGACGAGGCAGAGCGCTTGGTGCCGGCCACATGGATGCTGGACGGCGAGACGGAGGGCTATGTGTGGTGCGGGCGGACACTGAGCTGGCAGAGGCGGCGACATCTACCATAACTATTTAACCAAGGTATGTAGCATGTTCGCTGTTAGCTATCGGCGCTGACGGCCATCCTCTCTAGGTGCCCTTCGTCGTAGTCAGGCGACATGAAGTCGAAGAAGAGCCACAAATCTGCGCGCATCTGCAGTATCCGCCACGGCACCGTCCTCTTTGGGATGAATCCCCCGCTTGAATCCACTACCATGACAAAGATGTCATCACATTCCGCCTCCTCTGCCCCTCGGCCCACGCCCTCCATACTACTCGACGAGAGCACCCGGACACCCCCTCGATTCTGATCGCTATCGGCACCAAGTCAACGAGGAGATAGCAGTTTCTAAGCCGACTTCGGTATACCACCCATACCCTTTCGCGAACCATCCAACAGTGCATCGCGGCTCTATGTAGTGGGGACCCAGACCCTGCTGCACCCACGGAGCATCGTCAGGATCACACAAGATGTGGACGACTGGTCAGACAAGATGGCGTCATCAGTGAACACGATCCCCTCGCTCTCATACTCTGGCCACCGCAGCATCAAGTCTTCGTCCCTGCTTGACGACGTGGAGGATGGCGAGGAGAATGGCGAGAGCTCTGGCCAGTGTAACCGGTGCATGTCGAGAACGGCTGAGAGACCTGAGAGTGTTGCCGATCGCCGCATGGAAGGAAAACATATACGCAGACGAAAGCGGTCGTTGTTCCCTCCGGTCGCGGTCAACACGATACCGCGTTCGAGCAGGCCGAATGCCGATGGCAAGGGCGAGGAGATGCGGGGGTCGGCCGTGTTTGGAAAAACCGTAATTCTGAGGACAGCGAGTTCGCGGAGGTGCCGTTACCGGGGAAGTCGAGCGAGTTGCGGAGGAGGAGACGAAGCTCTGGTCGGCTGCGTATGTGCCGCTTCGGCGTCGGCTGTGATCGTGTACGGTTCCTGCCCTGCGTGGGTTCGTCGAGTGGATCGACCATCTTTCGCTGACTGTTGTGGCTGCGCCGCGACTTTCGCTGCCGTAGTGGATTGGGCGGACCAGTCATGCGAACGTCTGCATTACATCACTGTACGGTGTCTGCTCGCAATACGGTCAATTCAAACCAGCCGTACTGTCTTGGGCTTGCATTGTTTGTCTGCAAGAGAGTGTGATTCTGTCTCTCACTACATCTCGCTCACTGGTGTAGTCAATCTGTGCCATACGGTGTTTTCGAAGTAGAGACAATACAAATACAGCCGATACCCCAAACACATTGCTACGTGCTATCAGTGTGCAAGCTTTCAAGATAACTACTCAACGCCGAGAAATTGAGCCGAGCACCCTGCTTCCCAAACAGCACGTCCTGCCCAAGGAATCCTGCTATGCCCTGCCAGTCTACCGGAACCCAACACAGCCGTGTCCGCCGAGTTGGCGTCAGCGAGAAGATCCAGCCGTCCTCCTCGTAGTATATAGGCCAGGTGCGGCGCGGGAGCCAAGAACGCGATGTTGTCGCCGGTGCATCTTCGTTGAGAGGCGCCCATAGCTGAACAACCCGTTTGTCATCGTCAACTAGGACTCCGGAGCCGTCAGGGGACAGTCGCACGGTGCTGCCCCAGGTAGCCATGTTGAGGATGAGGAGACAAGCGCCCGTTGCGATGTCCCAGAGTCGCATGTCGGCATTGTAGTCAGAGGAAATGACGACGTCCCCACCAGGACTAAAGGCGACCGACGTTACCCAGAGCGTATGCCCCTCGAACGACTGAAGCAGCTCCCCTCCTTCTGCATTCCACACTATAACGCGACGATCATCACCTCCCGACGTGACGTGTTCTCCGTTCGGAGAGAAGGCGACTGAGCGCACCCAATCATTATGTCCCCTGCACGTCGCCACACGCGCTCCGGTCGCGACCTCCCAAATGATGACAGTCTTATCGCGGGAGCCCGTTGCGATGCGCCTTCCGTCGAGGGAGAAGCCGACAGAGAAAATGACGCCACTGTGTCCGACAAACTCGCGGATGAGTTTGCCCGTCGCGGCGTCCCAGAGACAGGCAGAATGCGGTCCAATGTTCCCGACTCCGGAGATACTAGCCGGTGTGAGCAGGTACCGGCTGTCCGACGAGAACATGATCCTCGACGACTGGCCGCCGAAGCAGTGCGGCACGTAGCCCAACACGCCGCTCCACATGAATGTGCCCTGGAAAGAGGGGGACCACCACGCCACGTGCAGCTCGCTTTCCCACTGGGCGCGCAGTGCTCCAGAAGCCGCATCCCAGAGTGCCACCCCACCACGATCTCCCTCTGATGCTGTAAGGATCGTCGCGTCGTCTGGTGAGAACGCTGCGTAGTGCCTGTGTTTTGACAGTAAGGATAGAGGCTTTATGCGCGCTCCCAGGTGTCCGTCTTGTACACCCCGATGGAATCGTTGTCGCGTGCCAGCAGCACATGACTTCTGTTATGAGAGAAGACGGTCGATCGGCAGTCCGCCGACTCCTCGCTGGGCGGATCGAATGACTTGATGGCGTCCTCGAGCCGCGGTGTGTTCACTGCATTCTGCGTCGCGTCCCACAGTCGGACAGTGCCATCCCTTGAGCCAGACACGATGCGAGTCCCGTCTTGGCTATAGGCGACACAGGTGACGTCATTGGTGTGCCTGGAGAACGTTTGTCGAGCCTCGCCGCTTGCAAGGTCCAAGATGAGAACAGAGTTCCCTGATCCACACGCAAACTTGTCTCTGGCTGAGGGAAAGTTGGGACTGCGGGTGGATAAGAAAGGTTGGCCTGGTAACTGAAGGTTACGGAGGTGCTCAGCGGTCTTGACATCCCAGATAGACAGCTGCCCCGAGCTTGCGTACTGTGGGGCAGCCAGAACTGTGGAACTGTCTGGTGTGAATGTTACAGAATAGGTTAAGTCCCAGCGTTCTCGCTTCAATAAGATTCGACAAGTGTACGGCGCCTCCAGGCTCCACAGGCAGACCATGTCATCTGCGCCTGACGCCATCCACAGGCCATCTGAAGACACAGCAATGGATCTGACCTGGTCTCGATGCTCGGTCAAGGTCGTCACACAGGCTCCTGTCTCGGCATCCCAGATCTTGATGGAATGGTCCCGGGAGCCAGACACGATGCGCCTGCCGTCGGGTGTAAAGACTGCGCAGAGGACCCGATTCCTATGCCCTTCCAGGGTGCAGAGAAGCACGCCGGATATAGCGTCCCAAATCTTGACTGTGCCGTCATCAGTAGTGGAGACAACGCGAGCGCCGTCCGGGGAATACTTGACAGAGTGAACTTCTTTGGAATGACCGGAGAGAACGAGAAGCGGGGTGCAGGTGAGGGCGTCCCAAAACCGAATCTTCTTATCGCCTCCCGAAGAGACGATCGTCCTGCCGTCGGGCGAAAAGTCGACGGCGCTCACCCATTGACCTTCATGTGCAGTGACCGTGCCCAGGCAAGCGTCCCAAGAGCCTGTCACGCCCCCGAAAACCTTAACAGAGTTCTCCGCGCGACACTCGCCTGCGTAGTTCCGCGCAAGTGCCGTCTTCCTCGGAATGAGTAGCAGGATCAAATGGTACAGCTGCAGCGCTGAACCACTGATCGCAGGGAAGTAGCCGACAATGAGCCGCTCGCAGTCGCCCAGCAGCACTGCAATGTTCTGGGCTCGGTCATCATTCATGTCCTACTCAAAATTTTAGACACAAGAGTCATTGCGGAGAGTAAATTGCACGCACCATAAGCTTGCGCCGGGACTCTCTCAGGCCCGAGACAGCTTCCCTCAGCACTCCGAGCACGCTGCAGGCCTCGACCCAGTACAGCAATCGGTTCTCCACAAGCTCCTCAAGTGGTTCGAGAATCTCGACGGACGAAAGCTCTCCGTTCACCAGATGAGTGCACCAGTACCCACAGGCATACCTCACATGCGCTGGTATCGCCTTCTTCCTGAGATCGAGCAGGTTCGGAATCTGGGTGTTGAGCAGAGAGGGGTCCCGAATATTGCAGATGTCTCGCCTCAACTCTTGCATGGCCGCCAGGCACCCACGAAGCAGCTCCGTATGTTGCTGCCGTGAATTGATGGTGAAATGTTGGCTTGTGCAGCGACTTGGGTCCATTAGGAACTCAGCAAAGGTCTGGTGTATAATGCGAATGCTGGATGGGGAATCTTCAGACGTCGGTACAACGAGGATGGAACGGAGAAGCACAAGGAAGCTGTACACGGTATGAGCACTGAGCCTGCCAGCCAGATATGCGAGGCTGGAAATCGGAAGTGGATCTCGGACGGCTGCTATGATGACAGCCAGGACAGACTTGAGTCGTCCCGACAGGCCTTCCGATACATCAGAGAAGGCGCTCTCGAGCACCCGCAAGTACAGCTGATCGAGGAATTGGTTATATGAAATTGTAGTGGATGCAAATGTCCTGAGCTGTCCAATAGGATCGCTGTATTTTCGGTCTTCAATAAACTTGGCTGCAGTCGTGGCAATGATGAAAAGGCCACCGGCAAGTTGTGTCAGCATTGCGATGTCGGCCTTGTCAGGCCAGGACTCTGGGACGTCCGACAGAGCTACGGTAAGATAGCGCTCGATGTCTGCATTGACAGACTCAGGCTGTGATACAATCTTGTATAAGGGTTGCTGGCCAAACGCGCTACGACGATCGTGAGCGTTGAAGAGAGTGATGATGTGATGGCTGGGGCCACTGGTGACAAAGAATCGGAGGCGAGATAGAGTCTGTGCATGTTTGAGCAAAGCGGACAGGACCATAGAAGTGATATAGTGATCTCGACACTCATCGAGTGCATCGATCACCACGACGCATGGAGGGAAGTCGTCGCGGAGCTGTGCCAGTGGTTGCATGATCAGCTCGTTGAATTGGCGAGAGACATCGGAGCGTAAGATGAGAGGGTCTTTCTGGACTATCTCAGCGACCTGATCCTTGTAAGGTTTATAGAACAATCCGAGTTGGTATCCAATTGTCGTAAAAATCATCGAGGCGTCACCGCAATCGTTATCCAACAGAGAGCAAAAAAAACTCGCCCCCAGAACACCTTCTGCACGGCACCGCTCTGCAACGGTGTATGCGATCGTCGTCTTGCCGGTACCAGTCGGACTTTCTAGCCACAAAATATTAGATTGGCTGCGAGCAACGTCCTGAGGAGAATCGGCCTTATCGCCAGCTGTGTGTCGATCAAGCGCCCAGGTATAGATAACGCTCAAGGTGTCGGTACATGTCCCTTCGAGACAAGCCACCCGCTCCGGGCGACAGTTGAATGGAGCAGAGGCTGCATACGGGAGCGCCGGATTGCCTGGGTTGAGGTGGTCAAAACAATTCCACCGCCTATTGCCACCGTACATACCTTCAGCCTGAGGACCGGACGACGTTTGCAGATGCTAGGAAGGTTCGAAGGTCGATCAGTGGATCATATGACCGCCTGAAGATACTCACTTGAGCATTGTCGTGTGTTACATTAGGCATCTTCCCGACGCGCAGTGAGTTCCTCTTAGAGAGGCGCATGTAATCCTGTTCGTCGATAGTCAGCGCAGGCGCAGATTACTCGAGGCCACTCGACATACATCTAACGGAAGCTCAATTGCCGGTGCACTTTCCTGCAGTTCGAAAGAGGTTATATCACCTGATATACTCACAAGCGAGATTCAGGTGTTTCTTACCGTGAAAATCTTGATTGACCGAGACAACCTCTGCACGAAGCCAGCGATTTTCTTTGCTTCTTTGTCCGCGTTCAGTATTCTCAGTAGCTTGTTCCGAGGCTTGAGATACACAGCTTCATCATTGATCGCTTTCCAAGAGCTGCACAACATGAGTAGTCTAGAGCGGTGCTATGAACACGAGACTCACGACAGTAGTCGGTCTATTCTAGCCTGTATCGCGGGCGATGTGATCGATCTGTGCAGCTCTGCACGTTCCCCCATCATCGTGGTCAAGTCACAGGCCAACCTCGCAAGCTCCTTGATGTCTTCGGTGTCCCCATGCGATTTCTGGCTTCAGCGTGAGTACATCTGTTGAGCAAGACGACGCATGATACACACCTGGACCATCGCCAAAACTGCTGACAGGCTGGTGATGTCCTTCTGCAGGCCTGGCACGTCAAAATCTCCCGCAACTTCGTTCAATACGTCCAAAGCGCATTGAAGGCCATCGATGGCGGTGGATTTGGCATCTTGAGCCTCGTTTAATGGCAATTTTTGATTTGGATGACGGCGCATAGCTGCCAGCGTAGCGGTTCAAGCGATGACTCGTCGCAGTGCACAGACCTCGCATTTGAAGCATGGAAGCAAAGTCACGAGCGAGAGAAGGTGTGTTCGGCGTCCGCCGATTGGCTGCAACTGACGCTGAGTCGTAAGATCATCCGGACTGCGAGGTGTCACAGCTCGTCAGATTCTTGACTCGCTGGTAGTTGACCAGTTTTCTGCCGTACAGTTAGTGCGCATGACGACAATAGCGTTAGGAGCAAAAACCAACGAGTACTTATTTGTATATCTTCTTGAGCAAGGAGCCGCTTTGCGGCCGTCTACGATGGAAGAGAGCTTGCGAGTGATACCACTTGTAAAGGGAGCTCATGGGCGCTTCTGAGTGGCTAGTCCGGTGTAACTTAATAAGTTCCCGTGTCTAGGCCGCCGAACTGAAACTCTTGGTAAAGGCTGTGCAACTGCCAGCTCTAGCAGCCAGAACAGGTGTAAGTTATCCACGGCCTCCATCACCAATTACATAGAGAACGTACCGTTTGACCTGTAAACTGAAAGAAGACGCATAATCGGCCAGCTGATTTGTATTCACGACTTGAATTGATTGCTCACTGGGGTACACTTCAAAGCAGACTCATGCAAGACCGTATCTCTGCGACTGTTGATTTCTCTGGTATTTGCTAGTGGTCATCAAGATAAACAGGACAGGGAGACAGGAGGTCTCCATGGCTCATAGCATGTGCACTTTGGTCTGTCTTGTAACTTGGTATTCAAACCTTGAGGCTCGAAGCTCGAGGTGGTTAAAGAATACTAACAAGAATTGCAGGCCTACCGGTAAGCGCTCTAACGTCGGGACCCGGAGTATCCTACATCGCTTCGCCGGGACAGTAAGAAATTTAACTGCAAGCAGGTCCCCACGATACCAAGACCGGGAGTAAACGCTTCCAAGATCGAAGGACTCGGAGCGTAGTTCGCGTGCCACGGCAAGACGATGGTCCTCGCTGCCAAGTCATCGAGAGCTCCAAGAGCATGTTTGACATCTTGTAAGTGCCCCTGCTTGTTTATGGTCTGCAAGCACGGCAACTAAGATACTGCTGGCGTAGCACGTCTGGTGAGAAGAACAAGATGCTGCCTTATCTGACCCTCCCTCTCGCCTTCTATCCTTCACGTCGCATAGCCGGTAGGCATTAGTTTACCATGGCTTCGAAGAAAGTCGATGCTCTTTCGCATCCGGCCTTGTCGATTCCGCCTATTGGACGATCTGCTTACAGCTGCATCAGTCACCACATCTCCTCCTCGCTGTCGGGCACTGAGACAGTATCCGCACACTGAACAGGTAGGCGGAAAGGCGAAATATGTTATATTAAGTGTTTGGATCCGTACATAATAATCTACGCAGCCGTGAAATATGGCCACGTTCGCCAACCCAAGTTAAGAAACCGTGGTACGAACGGCTCTTCAGACCCTGAGGCGATATGCGAACCATAGTCAACGATGCGAGAGAAAGCGACAGACGCTTTAAGCGGACGGTCGCTATCGCAAACATATCGGGTCGGGCCTCAGCTGCCTCGCCATGGACAACGTCACGGAGTTTAATGTCGCGCTCGGGAACTATGTGTCGGCATTAGCTCTGCATGTCAGATGCAGAGAGAACGAAACGCGCACCGTTACCCGCGGCCGATTGTCGTTGAGGACATGCATGACCAGCGCCTGCGACGCGCGCTTTCACTAAGGCGTCAGATTCCTTCTCGCCGCTCCTGGATGTGCTCCTCGCGTTGGTGATCTGACGTAGGCATTCACGAGGCCCTCTCCTGCGCAGCTGGCGCAAACCCGCTCGCCCCGTCTCCAAAGCCCCCTTAGTCGCTGGTAGACATGGGCGGAAGTAGAGGGCCACCCGATGATCTTCTCTGCGGTTCCCGCCGCAGATCCAGGAAGCCCGGCGGAAGCTGGATCCCTTGAAGTTTCACGCCTCAGTTGCGCAGGTTCGAGCGGTGCTCGATGAAGTCGCCCCACCAGACGTGCAGGCCCGCCGAGGCCCAAGTAGACGCTTGTACAGGCTGGACGCGAGAGATGGCGCGGAAGGGATGCCGGTAAGAAGAGGTGCTGGTTCAGTGGTTCACCACGTCAGTGAAGTGTGAGCCGATCCCTGCTCAAGAGCGACGTAGTCGGGAATTGTGAGAGCATCGGTTAGAGGAAGGGCGTGGGGGAGGTACTGGATACACTAGCGGCGCATCAGCGGCTGCACGACACATGTGTACGGCGGTACTCACAAGAGATGTAGAGTATTGTCGATCTATCACTTAACCTCAGAATATGAATCATTGGTGTCCTTGATATCGTTGAATCGATAGCCGAAGCACTGCGATTGAATCGGAAAAATTGAGCATACTCGACCCTAAACTTCTATATTCAGACTCACCACGGACTGAGCCTCCTACCACGGCTTGCGTATCTCTATCCACCGCTGCTCGCCCTCGTCATGGCCTGTGGTCACTGTCTTCGACGAGCGCGACCTGCTCGTCGTCAAGCCCACCTCATGGCCTAATTGTCGGTCAGTAGACCAATCAAAGCGCGGAGATAGAGCTCACGAGTGAAACGTTTGTGCTGACTTGCCGCGGCTTACGCTTGTCCAGCAGTACGGCTACAAAATTCGAGGTGCGCTCTCCGCTCGGCCCTCCGAATCTCTTGACTTCCTCTTCCCGGGCAGCGCTCGCGCCGCGGAACAGGAGTCCGATTACATGCCGAGCTCGCTTTCGCGACGGCAGCGAGGATCGCCCAGGGCGGTGCGCGCGACTTGAGCTGAGGACAAGCCACACAGCCCGACGCGGATTCTGTTCAACATAAGTCAGAGATACAGGAGCGTTGGGCATCGGCGATCACTCACCATCCAGCGTTGTCTTGCCTTCGCTCACTACTTTCGCAAAGTTTGGTCGAAAGACCACGGAGCTAGCCTATCCACATTCTGCTGCTCTTTTCTCCAAGAGCTTGATCCTACTCGGCACGAACGATATGGGCGCGAATAGCCGAAGCGACGCTATGGGAGTGCGCTTGTGTGTACTCGGCGGGTCGGCAGTGGCTCGGACAGATGGCAGGCATACAGGTTCATGTTCTGCAGCCTAATCTTCGAGCGCTACTGCTGCTCAGGATCGTGAGTTCATCGTTCTCCCTCTCAGCTTAGCCGTCTTGGCCTCTAGAGCCTTCGGGCTGAGAAGCTAGCGGCATTCTTGAGCGTTAATGAGTCCAGGGAGAGCGAGTGTACACACTTTGCCAGATCGCCGCTATCAGGTTCGCGGAACGCTGTATAATAGTACGCCTGCGATGCAGTCAGCATGTGGGTTGGTCGATGGAGGAGGCTAGCGCACCGACAGAAGTCTGCCCCACCAGTGAGAACTGTCGAACAAGTAACTCCGCGATGCCCGAACGATGTTTGCCGGGTCGTCGTCATCAGATTCGCGGAACGTTGAATAATAGTACGCCTGTGATGCAGTCAGCATGGGGGTTGGTTGATGGAGGAGGCTAGCGCACCGACAGAAGTCCGCCCCACCGAAGAAGTAACGCCGCGATGCCCGAACGATGCTGCTTCGGCTAAGAATTGGTGCCTGAGGCCTGCAGTCGTGTCGTATGAACGTCCACGGAGCTCGCAAAGCATGAGCTTGGGACGGACAAGGTCGTGGTCGCGGGCAATGCACTGACCGCACGGCGCGCACGCGGACGTGACCATCCAGGGCTCGTGACAAGATGTGACAGATGCGACACTGATCTGTGATGTCACGCGTATCTTCTCTGCCCGAACGAATGTCAGTCCGACGCGTCTTCTCTTCTAGGAATCGATGAATGTCGCAGGGTGCGCTGCCTTTCCAACCATCGGATACGTACACCATTGCTAATCCTTCATATCCATGTGAAGGTCGAGTCTGGAGTAATGGGGAGCAAAGCGACAAGAAGTCGTTGTACGAACGCGGACGGACGCCATTTATATCTATAGCCTGGAGCTTATCTGCGTGGTGAGTATTGTTATTACTTTTTTAACGAAGCTGCTAATTCCTCGATAGCGTTTTCTAGCCCTGTCATTGTCCCGTCGGATAATCCTCATCAACCTGTACTGCGCCATCGGCCCTCACGTCGGTCCTTGGCAGCTCCACATGCACCGAGGTTCCCTGTACTTCGCCCTGCTTGTCACTATCACCTGCTCCTAGCGTTTCATTTCCAACACCTCCTAGCAAGGATAGCCGTTGTCCTCCCTTCCGATCGTGTTCTCAGGCCGTTCACGGCGGCTCAAGAATCCGGTCAGAGCTGTAGGAAGCTCGAGAACGGTTCCTCATCACTGTGCAGAGGTACACCAGACACCTGCTGTCGCTCAAAGTTCGCATCGGCTTCGTCGATCGGGGCAGCTCGAAGCATGCGAACGTGATCACCGTAGTCTTGTGCCTAGTAGTGAGTCTAGCTGTCGTTCAGCTCGTTCGTCGCTCATAAATCCCTGGAATCAGACTCGCTTGACGCGCCATTACATGCCTATGTTCAGACCTTGGCTCTGCTGCCATCCAACGGAGTTCCGTATCCTGTGCATCTCGACTTATTGCTCTGGATCTCGCCTCCCTCAAGCGCAACCCTCCCCTCTAGGTCGGAGCTATGCCGCAGGAGCGCGAGTTTCTTCTAGTCTTGGATTGTTTCAGCCGGCCGTTCAATGCAGCCACGACCGAGGCGCGGAACAACAGCAGCGCTGGGCACAGCTTGCCAACGGCCCTCCTGCGATCCCAGTGCCAGGACAAACGGCCGACGCCATCGCGCCCGCAGCACAAGAGTTGCAGACGAGGCGGACGACAGGATCCACATCTTCGATTTCCCTCGCTGCGCATACACCGCGCGGGCACTCGCCGACGTGGTCCACAAGGTCTGCCTGCCCCTTGCCTTCAACCGCCAGCAGGTACTGTTCGCGTACAGGATGTACACGCGTGCGATGCCGCTTAGCTGGATGCGGAGCACGCTCTTCAACAAGGCCTTCTCGGTCGACGTCTGGGACACGGTGTGCTCCATGGGCCTGTTCTCGCTCCGGCTGCCGTTCACGGCGAGCAACACGGCGATAAAGATGTTCAAGCATGCGGCCAGTCCTGACGAGCGGCGCGCGAAGTTCAAGACGAATTTGTTCAGCTGGTCGCACGAGGTGGAGAAGCGGCTCGGCGCCCAGCCGGGGGAGGGGGAGGGCTATGCCCAAGCGGACCAGAACGAGGACCGGGTCTTCATGAGCAGCTTCAACGAGTCCAAGTCTTCGGCGGTCGCAGAGAAGAAGGACGACAAGAAGTGAAGCTCATCTTATCCAAATTCTCGAATATGTCGCGGTACAGCTCCGTTGACGATCGGCAGAAGGACATAAAGCGATAACTTTTCGAGCAAAGAGGTATGCGTTCGAGACGGACTTCCTGGAGGTGTGGTTTGCGGGGTGTTACTGCGGTGCGTGCTGACCCTGTCATGTTACGAAGCCCACACTCACGCACCTCCGCAGACATCGGCGGCGGGCTGGTGTCGAACGACACCCTTCTGCGCTGGATGGTGTGCCAATGCTACCTGTCAAACACCAGTATCCGGCTCCGCGCTGGGCTTCTGCGCGACATCGGGCTCGACCCGCGTCACTCTACCCCGTCGTGCAGAATCGTCCTGCGCCGTTGTACTACACAGTATCCGTGCCCGTGCCTGACAGCGCCGGCGTCGCGCGCCTGAGCGAAGAGGGGGAGGACTTCTCGGATGCGCTGAGCCCGGTGTACGACCAGCTCGCGCTCGCGCATGGCTGGTGGGTGCTCGAGCTATTGCCGATGCGCCATCGCGTACAGCGCGCCGCGGACGGCCGGTGGGAGACAGAGGTGTATGCGAACATAGGCTGCGCACGCGTCATCCCGAAGCAGGAGACGCGTCCAGTGTACGCGAAAATGCGAATGCGTGCGGGAACGGCATATGAGCGGAGGAAATTCTTAATGTTGAGCCGACGTGGGTGGCCTAGGATCGTCGGGTGGGTGTAGGAGCATGGGCTCGAGTTTTGCTTTTTTCTTCTTTCTTTCACGACGGCTTTTCGGGTGCATTGTCAAAGTTCACTGTTATCGGCTACCAGTGATTTCTCTTTTACTGTAGGCTCATAATAATGAACTTATCTGTAGCACTAAAATTATGTACGACATCTGTAACTATGAACCAAAGAAATCGTAGGGCCTCACATTGACGGTATTTGCCTGTGGGATACTCATCCGCTAGCAGGCGGGCACAGATGCTGTCAACTGTTGTCCGTGAGACCCACCGTCGGCGAAGTACTTCGGGAAGTTTTGAAGGTGTAGCATAAGTACCAGCTGCCTCTATGATTTAGTGATACGAAGGTCGCACGAGAACGAAGGCGAGACAACACATAAGAGACCGTGAATTTCTGGCAATTATGATCAAACGAGAATAGACAAGAACATTGGACATATGGGAAGTAAATATTGACCAATCTGTTTTGCTCTTGAATTTTAGTCGCATGCCGCTTATACTAAACGCCTCCACCTATCTTTCTCTTTGGCTTGTCTCTGCACAGAAAGACTGCTCAGCTAGATGTCAAGTAATTTCACTTTCCAGTATGTACCTTTTTCTCCCGAGCTTCCTCCACATCTGCCTCAGTTAGATCAAACAGTGCCGGCTGCAAGTATCTCCCGTCTGGCAGGTCAGGATCGTACTGAAGCGTGACGAGCCGTTTCGTATGGCTGTTCAGACCCCCCACAACCCTGTCAGAGAACATGCAGAAGTCTTCTTTTGAATGTTTCTCCCCGCAGAGAACTTGGAACCGTTCTAGTCGTGGGAATGCGTAAAGAAGGGAAGTGACCATGGACCAATCACGAGTGTGGAGATAAGGGTGTGATTCCATAGAGATGCTCTCGCAGTCAGCGAGGACAATTTGGCGGACAAACCAGGCCTCATTGCCGCCGGCGTAAGGTGCAGACTTGACAACTTGGACAGAGACGTGTGGGTTCGATTTTAGTACTTCACTGGACAGAGAACCAACGAATCTGTAAGTGTCTTAGGGTCATACCGTGAGTACAATAATCTGATAGAGAGATTAATCGAGCTCACCTGCAGTCGCCTCCTTGACATCAAACCGTGAAAGCGCAAGCTCGCTGTCGTCGAAGAACGTCCGAATGAGCTCAATGATGGCACATGTCTCTGCAGGGACTGCTGGCCCTGCCGTTCGACGTCTGCTGAACGAATGTCGTGTGCTCGCGGCGGCCAGCATCCATGCGGGAACTACCATGTTGTTTGTGCATTCCCACATGAGGACTGAGCGAATATGGCTGAAGGCACCTGTGCAGACGTTGCTCGTGGCGTCAGTCGTTGTGAGTTGGTCACCCGACCATGTAACCCCGATGAAATCAACTTTTTCCAGGTAGGTGATATCCCCTAGTGTGCGGAGCAGGATTCGAAACGAGGGAAAGCTGCAATCCCAGAGTGTCAAGGAGGTGATGCTCCGCAACGAGCTCTTCAGACCCGCACTGTGCGATAGCAAAACGCGGATGGACTTGTCACTAGGATGATGCTGGATGTTACGGCACGCGGGGAGGAGGCGGACGAGAGCCGTCCAGAGTAGATAATCATGAGGGCTGGTGTGATAGAAGTGCAGCTTGGTGATATGTTCTGCGAGCCAGGCTGATAACGGGGACCGCACTATACTGTATAGCATGCGACAGTCCTCCTCAGTTCTCAGCGAAAGCTGGGCGAAGAGGCGAGGACGAAAGTGTTGGCACCAGGATTGTGAGATTAGCGACAGTGCTGAGAGGCCGGATTTGCGCCGGGTAACGGTGCTCGGCAGGAGGTCATAGATGTGGTCACGCAGCTTAGTGGGGAGCCGCTCCCAAAAACGCAGAAACATTTCACTACCTGGAGGAGCAGTGTAAGTGGATATCCGTGCAGTATTTGAAGATAATGACTGCCTTCGACACACCTATCAGACGAGAGAGAAAGAGCTAGCAAAGTCCGCGGGTCAGTTTGTGGCCTGTGAAATTGTCGAGTGAAGGACAGATTTTTCATACCATCGACTGGGATAGATCTTGCACGAATCCGGCGACCTTTCCAGCGTCACGGTCCCTATTGCCATTCCCCAAACTCAGCAATTTGCGCCACGACGTGATCTTCACAGCCTCGTCTTTGATCGTTTTCCACGACCTGCGCCCATATGAGCATTCATGAGCAATACCATCGACAACACACTCACGAGAGCATTTTGTTGACCGCCGTTTCCACCTGGGGTGATGCATTCTGTCCGCTGGTTTCTGTGTACTTGTTCACCGTCTCGGTCAGATCTTTCATGTCCTTGTTTAGCTCGCCGATGGATTCAGCATTCGCGCGCGAGTTCTGGCCCCGAATGAGAATTAGCACTCATGAGGACATTGCGGAGCACATGCCTGGATCGTGTTCAACACAGTCAAAAGACAGCTGATACCGGCCTGCAAGCCTGGGACAGGGGGACAGCTGGCGACGCCATTGAACGCGTCGAGAGCCTGCTTCAGAGAGTAGGCAGCATTCTTGGTGTCCCTGCTCAGTGGCTCCCTCCTGAACCAGTCCATTGTTTGTGTAGTCAGCGGAGGTAAGCAATAGCAACGAAAAGCGAAAGGCTTCGAGAGGATCGATCTGCCTGGGAGGATGAACAAGGAGCTGCTCCTTTACCACAGTCTTGTCGCGCTCTCGGTGGGAAGCTTTGTGTAAGTGACGATATGCGAAGGCCAGAGACGAGATAGTTTTCGGGCCGTAGGCTGGCAGCGGGGGGTATTTCGAGTGCAACTCGACGATGGTGGCTGTCGCAATCCGAGAGGAAATGCGACAGCGAGTACTATTCTATGGCGCAGGCGGTGCTTGCATCACATCATGAAGATGCAGCGCGCAGCAGCGATCAGAATCCGACGCGACGCGTGACGGGCGAGATTGGTGACGGTACATCATGATGATCTGTCACACCGCCTCCATCACGCAGGGGCGGACCGCGCGCACGGGGCTAATTTTATACTATTTTGCGCAGATAGAGGTACAAAAACATATTCAGTTTGTTTCATAAATACACTTAAGCTATTTCCCCATGGGGATGTTATTGTTTTAGTGGTACAAAAATATACACTGCTTTTACACCTTTTGAGGTATTAGAAGAGTCGAAATATCCTCAGGGCAAAATTATCATCATTTACTTCTCCATATTTTCCCAAAAAGGTTTCCTCCAGGTGAGGCAAAAAGAGCGAACTTATTTTGTGGTTCCTGTCTCTGCAAAATATGAGGTAGAAAAGCTGGACTTTTATCAGGGAAATTCGTATGGAAAAAACTGAAATTTCTTTCAGACATAAGATTGATCGCCCACTCATAGCCTATTACCCGTCCACTGTGCGCCCACTCATCGCCCCGCACATTAATGGCCACTTACTAGGAAATTGCCCACACATTACCCACACATTGCCCACTCATTGCCGAAACAGTGGTGGCCACTTACCAGTAAATCACCACTTACAATGCAGGTCCCTCCACTGCTTAGTGCTAAGCAGGGTTGCCTCGCCGGATCAAATTTTGCGAAGCTTTCTCACCACTGTCACCGGCGGGCTTCTCCCACCCTGGTCGTCATCATGTACTCGCCCCTTGGTGCTGTCCGCAACGAGCCCTGCGGACTCATTCCTTGCATCATCACCGCTCCTGACACCGGTGCACTCACGTGAGAGCACTACAGACTCGCAGACAGATGTGACGAGCGTCGCGTCATTGCGGCGTTGACACTCCAGATGCGGCTGCATGCGCTGCGCATGCAGACGGATCTGACAGACATGTGCTGGAGTGCTGATGTGCAGCTGATACCTGTTGAGCATAACTGAGCGGGCTCACATCCGCATCCAGTCGTGTGCCTGCCCAAGGTTGTCGTCATCTCTAGCCTGGAGCACGTTGAGATACCCACGCAGAGACTCAGAGCGCTGCAGTACCAGAAGGTGTTCTTTGCCACCGATGTTGTCCTGGGGCTGTTTGTCAATGTTCCCTCCAAAGGGACCCTCAACCTTCCTGCCAACTTCATCATGGTTTATGTGTGTCTGTCGGACCCACATGAGCAGCCTGCAACCCTGGAGACTTTGATATGTTAGCACTGAAATATCACCGTTACCGAGCTGATTGCAAAATAGCTCAACTGCTTTGCCATGAATGCAGATGCCATCGCCTTGCCTGCTGTTTGCCAGGCCTACATGACTTACCGTTCCTCTGCCAACACGCCGCTCTCAGCCTCGTGCAACTCAATATCTCCCCGCCTGCAGGTATCTTTCTCATTCCCGCACAATGCGTCTCCGTCCCCCTGCTTGCGGCCCCTGCCTCTCGGCTCCACCTCCTAGCTGGCACCTTCTGCAAACAACGTCATCACCTCTAAAGACCTGCAACGACCCCGCGCGCTCACGAAGCCTCTTCCACCTGTGCTTCTCAGTGCGTCCTCCTCCTCGCCCGACTGCACCGAGGTTTACACCTTCACCCACCCCTTCCTCAACATCTACCTTGGCCAACCTCTTCTCTACCACGCGGCATCACTCACTGCTCGATGGCGAGCTGCTCACGCTGCGTGCGCACTGCGACGTCATGGTGCTCACGTGCATGTACTGCGTGCTCTGCGGGTGCAGCATCGTCGCAAGCGTTGTTGCCGCCACACCGCGTGACACCGCGTCCAGTGGGGATGCGAGCGAGGACGACGAGGAGCTCCACACTGCCGACACAAACATGCACTCGTGGGACGACGGCAGCAGTGACAGCGAGGACGCATGGCTCGGCGCCGAGATCTTTGCAGGCCGCTGCAAGGT